CTCTCCAAGCGCCCCTCATCAAAAGCTTTTATTTTATTTTGCCACATGCATCAGAAACAACACAACCCCATTGATCCAACTCAATGATTAACAACAGCACATGGCATATTGATGAATTAGCATGTATTACATTGGTGTCACTGACAGTATTGGTCTCAATAGATTACCTCACCTTGGGGTTTGTTGGATTTGTGTTTACAGAGATCTGCCTACCAATTTCCCTGCCAAGTGAACTGTGTGTTAATGTGACGAACATTTATCACTCACAATGGTATAAAGTGTATGAGGCCTTTGACTTGCCGTGTTAAGGTCAACAGCACATCTTATTAACTGTGAAATAACTGAGGGACAATGTGCCATACATCCCTAGCTTACATTTGGCCTATTTATTTCCTTATTGTCTAGTGTGCAATTTGAATTTTAACTGGGATATAACTAAATGTTTTTTGTATGTTTGTATATCACTTTATTGTGTAACTGCTTCCACGCGTCTTTAAAAACTACTGTAGGGTCAGTTGCTCTTCGTCTAGATTTAGTGCATTGCTAACGGATAAGGTTTCATTCACCCTCCCCAGAATATTTTTGTTGCGACACAAATTCTCAGCTATCTATAGTTTTAGATAGGTTTAAATCTCTAGAAGGAGCTGTAAGAAAAGAACACTAGTTGTATTAACAATAAAGCATTATGAAACATTATTTTGACGGTTAACTAAAGCCAAATTAGAAAAAAACAACTGAGATGTTAGTTTGAAAACGTTTAAGATAGACTTTAGGGTTCACAGCCAATGCCTGCAAACCTTAGTGGAGTCAATAAAGCAAAATGGAAGATGTTGCACCTACAAACTATGTCCAACAGCTGATTGCAGTATAAAGACTGTGTAAAAAAAAGGAAGTGAAGTTTTGGAGAACTGCGATGATTTTCAGATCGGTTGAGAGAAACAATAGGAAGTAAAATAGGAGGGCTGATTTGTGATGTGGAGATGTTGAAGATTCAAGGATATATTGAAAGTGATGATGAATTAGGTTTAACATTTTTGTATGAATATAAGTGCCTACTATTTTAAACCAGTGTCTTTAAAAGACATTTTTTAATACGAAATTATGAACTTTTCTATATCGTACTATATTCCGAGCCTTATAAAAACTGGTTGACTATATTTTATAATGTAACATATTGTATGTGCCTTAAAAAAAGATTGAAATCATGCTGAAGTATCAGGACTATAGGATGCCATTTGAAATTAGGAAAGAAAAATTGGGATAGGCTCAGAGATGGAACAGTACACGTGCATGTGGTAACTGGGATGCATATTAAGTTTACGGCAGGTAAAAGGAGTTAAAAAGGACAAGGACATTGTACAGTTTCTCTATTAGTTTGAACTTGCATGGTGGGTGTTCGCTTCAACAAAGTTTGCTGAGTTGCAGGCATGGGCTGAAACAGCATTTCCAGCTGGCAAAAACAAATCCTACTGTGGTCTGTTGTCATGGAATATCCACAAAGATGTTATTTCTTAGTCGATACTCACAACAGAATGGAGTCGTGCATGACACTGTGGACCTGGCTCTTTGTTGTTTTAATCTATTGTGGTAATGTTTATCCAAGGAACTGTCGGTTTTGTAAAAAAATATTCATGGTCCCTTGCCTTAGTGGGAGAGTTTGCAGAGGCTGATAACGGTAGCCTACAGTTTAGGGAATTTAGCTAAATTCCATCGTTGAAGTTAAAGTGGCATTCCAGTGATTTTATAGTTTAGGCACGACACTTAAGAATGGTTGAAATCAATGCAGCAGAGGCATAGATATGCATATCTTTACCACTGAATCCTACCTTTCCCATAATGCAGCTCGACAGCTTCTTTCAATTTTCTGCGATGTGAATGCCCACATCTTTTAAAAATCCCAGTTTGTAACAGGCCATTTGTTTCAAATGTGTCTCTAAATCCAAGCTGAGAAAACAGTGATGCAATAGCTCTCAGACTCAACAAAGTTCATCCAGAGCTACAGAAGACGTTTCACAACGAATTTCACCGTCCAATTAGTCCTGCCTGACGAGCAAACAGAATTTAATGAGTACAATTGCTGGAGTGCCCCCTTATAAGAAGGAATTTGTGCATCTATACGACCCCAAAGCTTAGACCTAATATGAATGAACAATTCTGCTTTTAGTTGGGAACAATCCATTATTCTTACCGTTAACATCGTCTTTCGTTAGCTCCGCGTGATGACACTAGCCTAACAGGTCGTTACTGAACATTATTGTCCACATTATACCATGAGGCTGTAGTGAGAGGGATAGATACCAATGATGCCTTATGAACTAACCTCATAAACAAATAACAATATATGTGAATCAACAATCCTAAAGTTAGAGTTCTATTCCGCAAAGAAACGTTATAAAGGCAATTTTAAATCGCAAATCAAGAGCCGATGGAAGCAGTTCATACAATACATATGAAAAAAATAAATGAAAAAAATCTCTGCTTTCAGACATTATTTCTTGAATTTCGTATACTTGACTTTTATAGTACCTTTCCAGTTCAAATTTGTTATTTTCTATGAATGAGATGTGTATTTTGGAACACTTAATAGATGTTGAAAATTGTAACGCAATCTGCAAAGACTGAAGAGTTGTTTCCCTGACAAAGATAGATTGTTTTATGTATATATTTGATGGCCATCATTATCGAGAATAGTAGCTCTTTTAAAATGTTATGCAATATTGAAGCTTTTTTTTGTGTGAAGAAGGGCCTATTGCTAAGAAATAAACTAAGCTGGGAGTTTTTTCTTTATGTTTTACAATAATCTGAGGGGTTATCCTGCAGAAATATTTATGGAAAGATTTTTTACAACACTTTTTGTATAGAATATGCAACAAAGTTACACTAAAGAAGGAAAATATTGATGTCTACATAGAGTATTATTAAACTAAAGCTGGTACATAATTAATACCCTTTCTCAATTATAAGCCATTGTATTTTTGTTTTGTTTTATGATGTTATCAGTGGTGAATAACACACAGTGATTTGGTTGTTATGTGTAACTAATTATGAGCTGCCATTTACATCCATACAGTCGCATGTATTCATTTTGTAAACAATATTATGAAGATATATATTGTGATAACATGCAGAATTGTTCTTTTCTTAATTAGTGATGGATACTCACCACTGTATAAGCACGTTAAACTGTGAGATGTAGTTCAAGCTTAAAGCAGCAATGACAAGAAACTATTATAAAATGTTATGGTGTTATCAGTAGTCTTAGGGATTGTATACTTTTGTTAAAAGGCATGTGTGACAAAGAACTATTTTAGAGTTTGCATGTGCATGTGTTTGGTTTTGAATGAAATATCATTTTGTGCAATGTATACTTATTTAAATACTTTACAGTAGTTTGCTACAGTACATATTGTTTTTAACATTATCAGCAACTTCTGATTGTTATAAGTCTTGAAGTATTTACCGCTAGTGTAGCCTCTACGAATAATACATATTTACTGAATGTAATGTGTTTAACACTTATGTGGTCAATTAGGAAAGTTATGTTTGTATTCTTTACTGTCTGTATCACTTGAGATCTATGTGTTGCATTGTTGCAATATTTGAATTGGACAGAACACAGGCATGAGGTAGGGAAGAAAATGATTTTTTGGGAAACAAAGACATGGTCATGGTTTCAAGAGTAGACCGCAGGTCTGTTTTTCATGTCCATGAAATGGCATTCCAAAATGTGCCTTATTTGTTAGTTGGGAAAACATTTTAGTGCTGTTGAGCGTTTGTTGAATAAAAGTCATATTGAATTAGGAGTTGGATTATGTGGTTTCATTTCTTTTGGGTCCTATGCTGAATTGTTATTACCAGTAACTGGAATGTGTTCATTGGATATCTCAGCCCAAAGCAATTGTTATAAGCTCCTGTCTGTTCAATGTTCTTTTAAAAGTATCTTTTAATCATCACAGTCTACAGCGACTTTGAGTTCAAGTTTGTAGATTTACACAACACTGAGTGTATGGATTCTGATAAAGAGGTTTTTAATGGATTATTCATGGCGGTTGTGTAACGCAGAAAAGGGGGGAGCCTTATAAAACTTGTTATTCACTTTCTGTGAAAGTACTGAAAGATAACAGACACATCGAGCTGACAGCTCTTGATTTCAACACTTTGGGTTCACTTGTGGACAGGAAAACCCAAACACAAAAAAGGACACCCGCTAACATGGGTGCCGTGTGATAAGTGGAGACTTTTACAGCAGAAGACCCAACTTGTAGCAGTTGTAAAGATGTCATTGTGTTGCATGTGTTCTAAGCGTTGGCCACAGCTTTGCCGTCTCTGGAGCCAAGTTTCCATGAACAATATTGGACATGCATTCCAAATAACTAAAACTAAACCAGAGGGTGGGGACCCAAATTATATCAAGTTTGTTACAACATCTCTTGCTCAAACAGAGTGAGAGCTAAGAGGTCTCTATAGCAACAATGTAATCTGAGAATTCAAACAAACGGTGGAAGGTCAGTGCGCATATGGTTTCATTTAGGGGCAAGAGCTGCTTTTTCACGTCGCTTCATTATTTACTTTCATAAAGTATTAGCTTGATAAGCAGCACCACCCAGTCTCTGGCTTTCAGACATGTCCTGGCCTCCTTTGCTCTTTCTCTATTCCAGACGCTCTGTGTTTCAAATAAAGCAGCAGGGAAGGAAGAGCAGCCCACATACAAGACATTTTCAGGTTCCTAAATAGTTCCAGCAGATTAAATCATCTGCTTCCTCCGCGTCCAATGAGGCTACAGCCTGCAGCTCTATCATCTGTCAACTGCATCCATGTGATATTTCAACTCAACTGTAAGTGGGTGTCACATGATGTCACATCCTGCTATGGTGGGCAGGAAGTCGGTCACGCTGGAGAGCCGGTGTCTAAAAAAAGCAGCTGGATCATTTCCAGGAAGCCCTAAAACCAGAAGGCTCGATGGCACGAGAGCAAATGCCCTATACTAACACTAGAGCTAATAACATCTGAAAACAGTCATTTTATTTGGCAGTAAATGGAGAGTAATTGCATAATAAGAACAGTTTACATGGTGGACGACTGAGCGCTTGTACACAAAGTAAATGGGTCAAGTCCCAATATAAAAGATATATATTTGAACATCATTATCAACAGAGAAATATCAGGTTTTAAGATTTGCATCTGTGTCAAAAAGAACACAATGCAAAAAGAAAACAGTTAACGGCTAACTATACTGTAAGTTCTGTGTCTGACTCTGCATATAGGAAAAATATATCCATACCTGCTGGCGGTGGTAGTCTGTGTTTGTTAAATGAAAAGGGGGAAAAAGGAAAATCGAGGACTGGGATATACAAACCGTTGTTAGGATACAAAGATGAAACAAAGCAGCGAAAATTCCCGACATTGGGCTCTCAGTTTCAGGGCCAAAATCACCTGTGACAGTTTCTCCCCGACGAAAGATAAAGTAAATACCAAATTGTTGCACGGCGAGTCATCAAACAGAAGTCCACTTGTGATTTTGAGTGTTATTTAATCTCCCCACAGTCAGTGATGACAATTTTCTTAAGCACCCCACCGTCGTGTAAACCAAAGGATTCCATCTTGATGACCACGTCCATACCGTCCCTCACCTGCCCGAAGACCACGTGTTTACCATCGAGCCTGTCAAAAGAAGAGACCAAAAGAAACTTCAGCCACCGGTAAGGGGTTTGGATGTGGGGACAGTACGAGTGGCAAAGCTGACATGACTGTTTCAAAAGTCCACCTAAATATTTACCATTCAGTTTTAGCCGTACAGATGAAGAACTGGGAGCCGTTTGTGTTTGGCCCTGAATTTGCCATCGAAAGAGTTCCTGCAGAGATCAAAAAGACAACAAGTAAATCAATTAAACGTGATGCAGTCAACAAGATCCTGTCCTCATTTTACCACTGAGTCAATAACATTTAGGAGTAAACAGAAGCACAACACGAACAGCGTTAGGCCTGTTTCTCTTCTCTGAAAAGCAAACTGTGACAATGTAACTTAAGCCCTCAATCGTCAGCATGTGGAATATATTTATTTAAAAACACGAGTTATTTAATTGGGTGCATGTTGACTCACTAAAAACTAGGTCATTTGCCTCTGGATTGCAAAACCTCCAGAATATAGCCAGTGGTTTTTACTGTGGCATAAAGTTAGGCACTGCCATCTAGTGGAGCAGAAGCTATTTTCAATTATAAAGATCTGGGAAATGATACTGTTAAGAAGCCAGAGAAGGGACATGTTTGTCATTATATGCATGGATATATAAGATAACAGTTAACAGTACATATTCTTGGTTGGATCATTTTGTTTATATTATATTGACTTATCTAATAGTTTTCAAAACATGTCAAAATATGCTGAACATGTTCAAAATCCCCAATTTGAGATATTTGAGACAGACAATGCTTGGCATTTTTTGCTGGATACATTTTGTGTTAATAATGTCTTGTGCTAAACAATTTATTAACTTTCTGTTCACCTGCTTTTCAAGGAATTTAAATGTGTCTTCATTATACAAGAGCCTACCAAACACAGATTTCCCATCCAGAAAATGAACAAATTAGCAGTGTTTTTGTCTTGGAGTCACTGATAAAATTCACTGAGAAGTTTGAATTAATATCTATATGGACGGTTGAAGGAATATTTGTTTTGTTCTTCTAAATAAAGATAGAGTTGTACCTGGGCTTGTGTGTTTTAATTTGAAGTTTTCATCATTGAAAGTCTTCCCATATATAGATTTCCCCCCTGTGCCATTGTAGTCAGTGAAATCTCCCCCCTGTAACAGAAAACACAGATTCAGACAACATGGCAAACAACACTTATTGTGCATTTTCACTTTTAATCTTACCTGACACATGAACCCAGGTATGATCCTGTGAAACACAGATCCCTTGAATCCAAAGCCAGGTTCCCCAGTGCACAGTGCTCTGAAGTTTGCTGTGGAATCATCAGTTGTTTTATTCAATACATTCATTTGAAAGGAGTTGGAGTTGAACTCTTTGATTCAAGGGGGAAAATAAACACATGCAACTCTTAATATTAAGCAAATGAAATTTAAATAAACATACCTGCAGTCTTTGGCACTACAACTGCATTCAACTGCAAGATAAAAGATAAAACATATCCCATTCAAAATCAGGGACTAATATTTACACTGAGCTTATCTGTGTGTGTTTAAGTGCTGTTGGACATGCTAGTACGCAGTTATACGAGAGGCTAATGCTAGCTAGCTACCTCAATTGTTATTCTTCCCAGAGGCTCACTGTCGGCCTCGATGTCCAGAAACACGGAGGGGTTTTTGGCGGGGCGGGAGGAGAACAGCTTCACGGCGGCGACACCCGGCGTGCTGTATCTCATGCGGTTCTTTATTTGTAACATCGTTGCTCAGCTGACAGGGTGAGGAGGACCAGCAGGCCATGGGTGCTGCTGGTGTTTACATGTGACGTCACGTGGATTGACTGTAAAGACCCGCGCGGAGGTGACAAACAGCGACACCTCGTGGGACGGTCGGGAAGTAAAACAACTTAATTTATGTTGAAAAGAAATACATACATTCAGTCAATGTAAGAAACGAATACAAGGTCCATGTGTTGTTTAGGAGTCTGACAAATGTTATGAGTCAGTTATATTATAACAACATTGTGTACTTAGTGGTGTCATGATGGTGTCATGATACCAACTAAACCAGAATCATTATTTTTAAGTTTTGTTGAATTAAATAGGTGATACAACAAATGATAATATTGCACTACACTACATCACTCTACAATAATAATGAACCCCATTGAGAATGACATTCGCATATTTCAGCATGCTAATCTTTGCTAGTCATATTTACATTTTATTAAATAAGTACAGAAAAGGAACGTCATCTAATTTTGCATCTGTTGATAGTCATTTCATTGACTAAAAAAGAGCAGTGATTACTAGTCTTCCTGCATAGAGCAGTTAAAGCTAATTGGATGAATAACAAAATACCTATTAAACCTCAAACTGTTACTTGCTGGAAAATGTATGCTGATGCCCTTTTTAACTAATAGCTTATGAATAAAGAAACAATTAAAGTTGTTAGATCTTTACACTACCGACTATTTACACACCACAGTTGTAAATAATAACCAATTAACGATGCCAGCAGCCTAATAATTTGATTATTTACCCCTGAGATTTTCCTAATGTGACGTATCAAACTATCAGTCAGAAGTCTTTTTGGTTATGTGCTATACCAGTCTGTAAATAAAACCACTATCAAAATGTGTAATGATATTTCAAATACTGTATTACCAAATTCTATGTTCATATATATAGTAAAATATGGTCAGTATTCTATTGATTGTGTAGCACAAATGATATAGTCCCTTTTATCTTTTTTTGTGTTTTAAGTTATGGTTTAATGCTGGTTGCACTTTGTATGTCAAAAGACGCAAAAGGCCATTAAATGTGTTTCATCTGAATACATATTTATTAGATAAATATTAGGATGTCACGTCATCTAACTACATACAGATTTGCAAGACTAAAAAACACAATGTTTTTTCCGACCAGTTTAGAAGATGAAATGATTGTACAGAGGATGTACAAAACCAAAGGCAACTGACACATGTTGTGCCAAATCCCTTCAGATTGTACCTTCAAAGTATACTTTTCCAAATTGCCAAAAAAATATATAAATTTGCCAACGTTTTTTAATTTTAAGTGTAAATTTGGAAACAAATTCGAAAAGCTTAATTAAAAGCTCTATGTCTCCATTTCCCAATTATACCTCAAATTGTTTTAATAATTTGTAGCACCTTTATAAAGTACACAGGTAATAGAGAAATACACAGAAGTTTAATATTACACAAAGGAAAATGTTCTTTTCTCTTGAAAACCCCACGTGGAGGGGTACATAAAGTATCTTCCATAAAATGAACAAGTGTGGTTAGAGAGGTCTGCACAGACACAATCAAACACAGACTCCATTTTCCAATTCAATGTCCGACAGGAGGATGCAAGCTTTACAAATTCTAAATACACTATGCACACTCCCCCTGGAGAAAATGAATACATTTCTGTTAACTTGTCTCTATTTGTCATTTACATTATATACACGTATCCCTTACATCCCCAACCCCACCCCCAATCCTCTGCCACAACCTCACCTTGTAATGCAAATAGGAGGGGGTCTCCCTCAAGTTCCATTTTACAATATTAATTGTATTCTCTTTTATATCCTCAACTCAATTTCAAATGTCCGCATTGAGACAGTACAATTTGTGTCGCTCAAATTACGAGACGTGATTTTGTGAAAGTTGCAGTTACAGTTACACACTGTGTAGGGAAATAAAACATCCCAATGCGGCAGTGCATTGTCTTTTACAAACATATAAACAAACACATACAACATCTGATCCTTCAACTGTGTTATATGCAGGCGATTTGATACATTTTTGAACATCAGTTAAGCCATATTTGGTTCTTCAATCAGATAAAAAATCTCTAAATGGGAAAACTAACATCATACAGCATATTTAAAATAACTCAAATGTACTGCATAAAACTGTGTAAACCAAATCATACTTAAAATCACTGGACAAAAATAATAACTTAATATCAAATGTGATGAAAATACACAAATTTCAGTATCGATATCAAAAACTCATTATCAGGCCTAAAAAATATATACGGGGGACATTTTGCACATTCTCACCATTAAATAAAGAGGACGAAGTCACAATAACGAAATTTAAAAAAAATCAGTTTTGGAGAAATTTGGACCTCTAAGCTGCATCTTTTTGAAAGTAAACAAGTAATTTAAAGCTGACCTAATATTCGTTCTCCTGATGCATTGTTACAAGATATTGGAGAACAATACATAGGTACTCATTACAAGGCCAGTGAGAGTGCATTTGGATCAATTTGTTACAATATTGGACTGGTTAGAAGGTATTCTGTGTGTGTGTGTGTGTGTGTGAGCGTGTGTAGTCCTTGACAGACATACAGTACCATGTAGTTGCCAGTAATAGATAGGTACAGTCACAAAGTATTCACAAAGGGTATATACAACAGCTCTGGAAACACTGTTGGACCATGCAGGATTTCCCTCCAAAAAGATGCAATTCAACAGTACAAAACAACAAAAGGAAAGATCAGAACAAACACACAGACGTTTCTATAAAACACAGTGATTTAAAAACTTCTGTAGACGTCTGTAAGATGTTGAAATCCTTCTCTTGCACCAACAAAATATCCAGGGCCAACCCCCTTACAAAAAGTATAGGACAACTTTGGTGATGTGTGTCTGATTAATTGATCAAATGTGGGACAAAGATAAAACACTTAAAAAAAGGATGACAATAAAAAAAAAAAAAAGATGAATTTGAAATAAAATAATAAATATAAAGACAAGAGAGAAAAATGATTTGATCAAGCACGTTTAGGCTGGACAAAGACAACAGGAGCCATTGGCACACATGCACTTGTGAACAAAATGGTACTGACTTTGATGAGGAAGAGCGAAACATTCCAATAAATACACAAGAACGACTGGAGACCGGCTGGAGAAGAAGTGCCAGACAGTTCATAAAGTGGATTGTTTTATTTTTTTCTCGTTCAATATTCTTCTTCCCTCCTCTGTCTCGGACTCTCTCTCCCCGCTGTCTTTCATATACGCTCGCATGCAAACAAAAGAGAACACGTAAACATACACACACATACGTAAATACACACACTGACACACTCACACTACATTGCACAATGTGCGCTCGTTTCCTCTGTCGACACTCGAGGACATGTTATCTCGTCCTTCAGTGCTCTGATTCTGATGAGTTCCAGCTTTTTCACTGTCACACACACTTAGAAAATCTCGGGGGGGCGAAGGGCATGGCATGTGCCAAGGTTTTGGAAGAACACATTCCAAAAAGGATGAAAACACTCTTACAAGACAAAAAGGAAAATAATAATAAAAAACAAAAAGCTACAACACTTTTCCTAGAGCTCACAGAGGCTCCTGTCTCCTCCATGTTGTTTACACATGATGATTATAGCTGCACAGTTTTCAGTTGAAAAGTCACAAATATCATATATGTATATATAATATCACTTTAGTGCCCGCCAACATGGCTGTAAAATGTGTGTTTCGAGTCGGAGGCGATGGAACTGGTGCGTGGAATCTTTACACGAGGAAAATAGGGAGTACGGGGATGAGCGGCGTTCCTGTTTTCTCCCTTAGAGTTCTCAATCAGGCGCCTCTTTTCAGCCCTGCCCCTATGCCACACATTATCTTTCGATAAACTCTGTATGCATGTGCGTGCGTGAGCATAGGAAGCTGCTTGAAGTATCGATACGAGGTCGGTGAGGTGTCTGTGGACGGACAGTCAAACACTTCAGGACTCCTGTTTAGGTGCATAAGGGTTAATAGCGGGGGTGAAGGGCTAGTTGTTCTCGAAAAGGGAGAGAAGGTCGTCGTTGCTGTTGGAGGGAAGATCCGGAGGGTCGAGGTATGATAGTAACTCGTCTGGGTTGGCCAGCTCTGGAAGCAGCTAAAAGGTAGAAAGAGACAATGAGCGGTGAAGGTAAATAACCCTGAAAACATATTATCTATCTAACATTGGACGACTTTTAATGAAATGTCTGTTGAAGCCAGTGTACACATAAACAAGCGTAAAAAAGATAGTCAAACAGAGCAAAGAGATGAGAGCAGCTGCAGCAGACAATGTTAGTGTTAACAGAGCAGTGGCCAGAAGCAGACACACTTACATCCAGAGAGGGTTCAGGCATATCCTGCCCGTCTGAGGAGGGGTTAAAGTTCAGATCGCTGTGGGGGTGACAGTTGGGCCCGGGCTGCTGAGGGTGGGGCTGAGGCTGCGTCTGGCGAGTCGGCTGCGATGGTTGGCCACTGTGATGCAAGGGCTGCCCTGACTGCCCACTGTGATGTAAAGGTGGCCCTGATTGGCCACTGTGATGTAAGGGCAGCCCTGATTGGCTGCCGGGGTGGGGAGATGCATGCAAACTCTGCTGCATGGAGTTATGGGACTGATCGGTATGGGACATCTGCAGGTGCAACAGGGAGACAGAAAGCAAGAGAGAGGGGGAGAGAGAAGTAAGAAGGTAGACACAAAGAGTGTTAAGAGAGGGGGGAAGGGGTTGCGTGGGAAGAAAGACAGGAAAAGCGAAATGAGTTCCAGCGTGAATAATGTGGAACAGGCCTCTTAAATGGGAGCTGTGTTCAGCGGACACATACAGCTGCAACATTATACGGCAACATGAGCATGTGAGCATGACTGAGCACACATACTGGCTACAGGCAGAGGCTGCACCTCGTTCCGATAACAAACAGGAACATCTTTAGGGTTGTCTTGAGATATTACTCTATAAACTTAAACATAATCCTAGTTTAACACAACTAGCATTGCATAGTGATGGACTGTTTCTCTGTGGGGAAAAGAAAGCAGCCCTTGAAGTAGATCTACTTACTGC